GCCCTTGTCCGAGACGCGGAGGTAGGCCGTGGCGGTGCGCTCGCCCGATGCGGCGGCGACGAGGGGCCAGATGGCGTTGCGGGTGGTGTCGACGTCGCCCTGGCGCGCCTTGGGCAGCATGCAGACCTCGAAGCCGGCCATGGAAAAGAGGAGGTTGGGGTTGTCCTTGCTGTAGACCAAGCACAGCGTGTCGTCCCACTCGATGGTGGTGAGGCTGCGCGGCAGGCTGTTCTTGACGGTCCAAAAGATGGCGCGGCCGAGGTTGACGTCGTGCTTGACGAGGCGCATGCGGCAGTCGCGGGGCCAGCACCTGCGGTTGTTGTAGCCGATGAGGTTGCTGTTGTTGGGGTCCGGGTTGGCGCTGAGGTAGCGCTGGATGAGGTCGCGCGCCTCGTCGGCGTCGAAGCGGTGGAGGATGTGGATGCGGTCGACGAAGCGCGTGTAGAGGCGGATCGGGTGGGCGGCCTCGGTGGCGACGTCCTTGAACTGGAAGAGGCCGTTGGGCACCGCCGGCGGGCCCGCCATCTGGCTGGCGCGCTGCAGGCCGAGGATGAGGAGGTCGAGGATGAGGCCGTAGTACTGGAACACGAAGGCGCTCAACTGGAGCCCGCGGATCAGGCCGTACGTGTTGATGTGCTCCATGTCCTTGAAGACGATCGAGACGTTGTTCTTGGACGTGATGTAGTTGGCAAGGTTGTGGTCCATGATGAGGCGCAGCAGCCGCTTGAGGAGCGTCAGGTCAATCTTCTCGTAGACGCGGCTGAGGGTCGTCTCCATGAGCACATTGCACTGGCCCTCGGACGTGTCCCAGGCGCCGTCGAGGTTGTTGATGCCGTTGCACCACTTGTAGACGAGCAACAGCGCCGGTTCCAAGTCGCTCGGCTTGACCCAAGCGGGGAAGAGCTGGCGCTTGTCGGCCTCGTAGGAGAGGTACTGGTCGAGGTAGGCGTCGGTGATCTTCTCCATCGGCTCGATGTCGTAGCACGGGATGAGCTTGTTGAAGGTGTCGAAGAATTCGATGCCGACGGCCTTGGCGGCGCGCTGGGTGAGCATCAGGCGCTTAATGCGCGCCAGCGTCTCGTGCGGGTTGTCGAACGCCTGCTTGATGAGGGCGAGCTCCTCGCGCTGGCTCTGGTTGAGGCGGCCCTTGACGCTGTACGACTCCTTGAGCTTCTCGAGGGCGAGGACGAGGATCTTGGTGTCGTGCTTAAAGTTGAGCGAGGGGAACGGGATTGGCTGGAAGCGGCGGCTCTCGAGCCAGTGGACGGTCGACGTGTAGATGGCGACGGCGGCCTCGGACGTGATGTAGGGCCCGTCCTTGAGGTACGAGTTTTGGCGCTCCTGCTCGGCCTTGAGGTAGAGGCAGGTGAGGCGGCCGAGGTTCTTCTTGCTGACCGTCTTGTGGACGGTGGCGCCGCGGCGGATGCGCTCGCGGTTGTAGTGCGTCACCGACGTCCACCAGTCGGCCTTGAGCTTGACGTAGCGCAGGATGAGGTTCTCGACGGCCGTCGGCATGCCCGGCACCTTCCACGGCGTGTTGGACTTGTAGCAGCGCCACGCTGTCGAGAGGTGCTGGAGGATGACGCGCAACTTGTTGGCCTTGAGGCCCTCGGGCATCATGTCGAGGATGTCGTGGAGCACGCTGGCGCGCAGCTCGAGGTCGAACGAGCTCTCGACGCGCTGCTTGGTGATGGTCGAGACGCCCTTGGCGCGGCCCTTGCGCCCCTCAGACTGCCTTGCCAGCAGGTTGCGCAGCCAGCGCTTGAGGAGCAGCGTGATGCTGCGGCAGAAGGACGTCCATACGCGCCTCGACGGCGCCCAGAAGCCGATGCCCCTAACCCCCGACGCAAAGTCGCTCAGCAGCGTACGGCCGAGGCGGTGGAGCGCCGCCATCTGCGGCAGGCCGAGGTTCGGGAAGCCGTACGGCGGCCCGTTGACGCCCTCCCTATCGTCAAGCAGCGGCTCGAGGCCGTAGAACCAGTCGATGATGGCGCTGTCCTCTTCCTCGTCAAGCTCGAGCTGAATGGCCTCAAGCGGCTTGACGTCGAGCAGGTTGTTGCCGTAGTCGACGACGGGCTCCTCATCGTCAAACGGCGGGAAGTGCATCCGCTTGAAGTGGCGCCGGTCGCGCTTCTTGCGCCGCATCGCCAGCCACAGGGTGGCCCACTGGGCATGGAAGACGGGCTTGATGACCTTGGGCACCTCGTTGGCGAACGTGATGGCGCCGGTGATGTGGTAGAGCGCGGGCACCTCGCGCACCTGCTCCCATGGCATCGGGATGTTCTCGAGCACCTTCATCATGGCGTGCGGCACGTACTTGAGCGTGCCGAGGTGGACGCGCTTGTCCTGGCGGTACTTGCAGTTGCTCGTGTCGCCGTGGTCCTTGACGACCTTGCGCAGCACCTCCGGCGGCATCTCCTGCTTGCCCGTGTCGACGAAGCCCGTCTTGCCGCAGCGTTCGCCGAAGCGGCGGCTCTGGCTCTGCTGCCACTTTTCGCCTTGGACCCGAGCCTCTCGGTCGTCATGATGGGCGGCACGCTGTAGGGCGACGTCTGGGTCATGTCGGGCGGCGGGCCGCGCATCGACGATGGTGCCGACGACGGTGTGCCCATGAATCCGGGCGGAGGGCCGGACGTGGTGTGTGGTATGATAGAGGGTGGCGGTCGAGGTTGGCGATGGCCGTGGTCAAGCGACGGCGCTGGCGGCCGACGGGGCAGGTCGCCCGTAGGGTGGGCCTAGGCTGCCGAGCGAGTGCTCTCTCTGGTCGCCCCCGGTCACTGGCTGACGATGATGGAGCTGGTGGTATGGCTCGTCGGGAGGGCGCGTGTGAATGCTGTCGCGGGTCGCGGTCGTGATCGTCGCAATGCTGGTCTCTTTGGGCGACTTTGTCCGTCAACGAGGCTTCAGACTGGGACGAGAATGGAGGTGGATGTAGCTCAGAGGCTGCGCCATATTGTGGATGCGAAACAAGTGCGGAAAGGTGCGATTGTCGAGGGAAGCGGAGGTGGCAAAGGTTGTGATGAATGGCCGACCCCTTGTGAGGCAGTGGCGTCGATGCTTTGCTGGCGACGAGCACGGCAGCGCCGAGCGGACAGCAGGCAGCAGGAGCGACCGATCTTGAGGACCAGCGATGGGCCTTGACGGCGAGCAGGTGGCGGTCTTGCTGCGGCGGCGTGCGATCCCCTTCACTCCTCTTTTCCTTGTTCCACGCCGTCGCCTTGCCGTTCCGCCGTCGGTGCCGTCGGCAATGGGATCTGTGAGGGGCAAGACAAGGCGCAAAGGAAAGTTAGATGTCAGCAGATCCAACAAGAGAAGCAGATCGACCGCAACAAGGCCTCACCCTATTGATGCGGACGCGGTCGACTGGCACCGGGTGCCGATGGTGGACCATTGTTGGCGTCATGTGGGCGACAGGCGGATCTGTGGCAGAGCAGAGGAGCGAGAAAAGGAGGGCGGCGGGTCAATCGGCAGGTTGAGTTGGGTGGCGTCGAGAGGCAGACCGAGCAATCGACTCACACATGGTGCTGCTGGTGCCGACAGTGCCCGAGACGAAGAGGCGATGAGCGAGGCGCGATCGAGACGACCTTGATGCGGGCTGGCAGCGGCGTCGAGGTGGCAGGCGTGGGACTTGACCTAACGGGGCGGCGGCGGCGGTGGTGGTGGTGGTGGTGGTGGGAAGGAAGGAAAAAAGGCGGGCAAGCGGGCGCTCCTTAGGGGGCGTGGGGCTGCCAGTGTGGCACCGCCAGCCTCCACAAATTTTCAGCCTGCCCGCCAGGCGTGGCGCTGCCACCAGGCCGCTTGTCTCGCTGGTGGTGGCGGTAGGAGACAGGCACAATCACACAGGCAAAGGGATAGAGAGCAATGTTCAATCGAATTCATGGCAGAGCGGCCGCATGTGTGACGAGGCAATCAGGACATGGTCATGCGAGTATGGATGTCCACCTCCATGCGCTCGCGGAGGCGGCGGACGTACTCCCTGACTTCTTGAAGCGACCAGCCGAAGATGGGCTCGAGGTGGGCTGGGTCGTCGAAGTCCGGCTCCGGGTCCTCGGAAAGGCCCGTCTTGTCGACCTCGTACGCAAAAGCAGGGTCTGCGAAGCCGTGCAAGTTGATCATGCAGGTGGAGGGGGAGCGATCCTTGTCCACGACGATGTAGTGGCAGTGCTTGCGGTGCTTGTGGCACCACATGCAGTCGACGATGACGGCCTTGGTCCAGACGACGCTGCCCTTGTCCCACACGTAGTCGAGGCAGCCGGCGATGGTGGGCCTCTTGCAGGTCTTGGCCGCTTTGGCGGTCGGCACGCACGCGAGCTGGTCGACGACGACTGTGTTGCCCTTCCACATGAGGCACTCGATGGCGATCAGCCTTGCGTTGTCGTTCTCGCTGCGCTCACTCCTGCACAGAAGCTTGTGGTGGTACTGGGCAAGCTCGAGCTCAGAAGAGCCCTTGTAGACCGCCAGAAAGTACTTGATAAACGTCTTCATCTCTTTCGACATTGCGGCGTTGTAAGTACAGCTGTTGAGCGCGCGCGGACGAGGTGGTGCACAATCCAGCGGTAGCGAGCGAGGATGGAAAGCGTTGGAGGCGGTAGTGGCGATCCATGCGAGTGACCGGCGAGCGACGGGCGAGATGGTCAGGCGGGGGTCGATGGGGCAGCGAGCGGTGGCATCGAGGCAGTGGCGTCAAGGTGGCGTTGAGGTGGATCAGCAGATAGGAGGCAAGGGGACAGGCGAAGGCGGCAAAGAGCTGGTCAGCATCGACTCGACAGCGGCAGAGAGCAAACAGTAGAGCAACAGCGACAACTCACAGGAGCGGAACGATTGGGGTTGATGGTGGTGGTGAGGAGACGAGAGGGGGGGCGGAGAGCGAGCAGCCTGGCCTGCCTTATGTACCCTGTGGCTAGCGAGTCGAGGGGGTGTGCAGCGTAGGTGGAGGCAGAGGCGGCAGCGAGGAGCAAGAGCATTGACTCAAGCAGCAAGGCGGGACGGAGAGCTTACCTGGACGCGGGTCGAGCTTGAGTGTGGCGGCAGGCCTGCACCAAGCACCAAGGTCTGAGCAAGATACCGCCGCAGCGAGCTTGTTGGGCGGTAGGCTTGATCCTTGTGGCCTCGACGATGCCGCCTCGACCCGTCACTGGAGCCTCCAGCCGCAGTCGGATCGCATCGAGTCCAAAGCACAGACTCACACAGACAAAGCAAAGGCCAATCAAATGCATTGCAGCTCAGGACAGCAGTTTGCCGTCATCGGCCCATCGGGCGATGATGTTGCCGTGG